GTATTACCAGCATAATACATCGGTTCTGTTATTCCTTTCGCTATGTTATACGGCTATCCAAATTTGTACATCCAGTAAAGCAGAATATCAACTTTACAAGTTTGTTTTACATTTACTGTATTTACTATTTCTCTCTGTTCATTATCTTTTCACTTTTACTCTGCCTTTTTTTGTGATCTTTCATTTTTTTTATTTGAAAAATCACGACATTGTAGTGCTGAGTAACTTTGAATTAAATGATAGCTGAAACTTTACTGCAATGAATAGCTGAAGATTACCGAATCTGTAAAACAGTGGCCAACAGCTTTGTATAGCTTTACCTTACTATATTTTAATAAAACAGTAGCCATTTGATACTAAATTAGTTGTAGCAACTAATATTCACTGTACTCCAAAGCCACTGCAGGTGTTTTTGGGAAGACTACTGATAGTTCTTTATAGAGCAATATTTTAGGCCTTCTTCTTCTTTAATAGTTACTGTTGTGTAGATAAAATGAATGTTAAGAATTATGAATGTAACTACTAATCGTTTTTTTCTTTTTTTTTTTTTTTGCAGAGATCTTTTAACAAATTATAATGCGATGGTAAGACCGGTAAAAAACAGCTCTGAGCCATTAACTGTTTCTATCAGGGTATTCCTTCAGCAAATCATAGGAGTGGTAAGTAGTAAAAAATGCTGCTACTTGAGTTTAACCAGTTTTTATACCAATTTTATCTGTTGCAATTTGCATGATCTATAGAAATGCTCTTTTTGATAGTTCTTTTTGTTCCTATTTCTGTATAAATATCCTTAAAAAGTCTGGCCAAAAAAAACAGAGAGCAACTGAACAACTTTAGTAATAGGATAATAAGATTTTTTGTTGAACTGTTTAGTCTCATAATGGCTAAATAGCATTTAGCAGTTGTTGAAAAGATGGCATTTAACAATTAAAAAACAATGCTTAAAAAAATAAATAAATCATAAGGTTAACAGGGATTAAATTATGGGCTTAATAAGAATAATGTTCTATATGTGCTGTTGAAGAAATTGGTCTCATTTTAAGATTTTGCTAAAAGAGAAAGAAAAGCTATAGAAGAGGAAAAAAAGGTAAAGAAAATTGAAAAGTTTATCTGCTGGTTGTGGTAGCTGCATACTGATTCTTGCTCAATTTGTTGTGACTAAAAGAAGCATATGCAGCTTGACAATTTATGACCAAAATTTACTCAAGGTTCTAAACGAACAGAGTACAATGTAGGGTGAAAAAAATGGCCTTAAATTTGGTTGTTGTGAGGCTATTTATCAAATTCTTGACTAAAGAACAACCATTATTGTAAGAAATTTTAGTAGGTCATTGTTTACATAGCTTAAAAGCAAAATAAATTTTAGTCTTTCTCCACAACAATTTACCCGCTAAAACAAAAATTCGTGCTTTATAGGATGAGAAAAATCAGGTGATCGAAATTAACGCTTGGCTCAAGTACGTAAGTTGTTTTGCTTAACTTCATAATTTCAACGTAAACAGCACTGTTTGTATTTCTAATTGTACATTAAAAAACCAGAGTTTAGAGTAGCTAAATTGGTACGACTGCCCTAACCAAGAAATAAAGTCTTTTCTGTCAAATATTTCCAGCTTTGATTTTCTCAACAGCGATACATGCAGATGAATGTTTGCGATACAGTAAAATGTGATGGTTTATGAAATCCAGAAATAATCTGCTAAATCTTAAAGGTATGGAAAGATTATCAATTGACATGGGATCCAGACAAATATGAACAATTGAAAACTATAAGATTTCCCGGAGACGGTACGATATGGCAACCTGATGTTTTGATGTACAACAGGTAACCAACTAATGGCTATTGACTGCCAAAAAATTGAAAAAAATTTTTCTCTTTCTTTTTGATTGCAATACAATGAATACAAAAGTAATTTTTAAAAAAGCCATTGTATTTATCATAAAATTTATACCATACAACATACTAAATGAAATTGTTTAGCATTTCAGTAAATTGACTATATATCCCACTTTGAAGCTACAAAGACAACACTAAAACTTTTCTTTGCTTTTTTCATTTTTGAATATTTAGATTTATTGCATCTTGAATAAAATTACGTTTGAGAAAAAATAGTAAAATTTATTCACATTTAACTGCTTTTCTCTGCTTTTCTAACTAATCATTTAAAGAATATGAACAGATTTTATTTGAGCTGAAAAGACATCACTTCTTTGCTTGAAAGAAAATACAGTCAACAATTCTTTTTACAAACGTTGATTGGCTACTAATTTTACTGGTTTACGGTAGTTCAATAGTTTTGAATAAATTGGTTGCCATAATTTTTTCATTAGTTGTTCTTTGAACAGTTTTCTAACAACGATAGACATGAATCAAGATATATTTACACTAGCTATGCTACCTTAAAGATAAGGTTGCAGACTAAATGTACAAAAAAACTTACAGAAGAGTCGTTAAATTCTAATTGAATAATAGTAATACAAGTAGATAAATGTTTGCGATACAGTAAAATATAATGATTTTTGGAGTGGTGAAAAAGTTTACGAATAAAACTATTCTCTGAAGTGTAAAGTGTTTAAGCAGTGGTGCTGTTATGTTTTTGACCAAAAACATCATAGTTATTAGGGATTAGAAAAGCTCAATTAAATAGATGATGACTGCGGATAAGACCGATCAACCGATAATGAAGTCAATTTTTGTGTAATGTTTCTTTACTAAAAATAAGAACTAAGTAAAATCTAGTTTTATAGCTACAAAAACATAACTTTAAATAAAAAGTGTGCAAAAATTCCGGAAAGCACAGGTGCAAGAAGCAGAAACTGGAATGATTAAAGGTTTAATTTCTTGTTATTGCTGAAATCTATGACGCTCTTCAAGGACGTCGTCAAAAAATGTTCGTCAATTGTATGGGACTGAAAACAGCATTGTAATAGTTTGAATAGATTATAGACTATTAAACAAGAAAGAAGAAGGAAGAAGGATTTTTTTGAAAACATCTTCTGGGTACCTATGTTGTAAATCAAGTAATAATTGTGTATCCATTTTCCAGTGCCGACGAAAGTTTTGACTCTTCATATAAAAGTAATTTGGTGGTGTATTATGACGGTGTTGTTAACTGGATACCTCCTGGTATATTTAAAGCATCATGTAAGATAGATATTACTTGGTTTCCATTTGACGATCAGTCATGTTTTCTAAAGGTGACCTTTGTCTTTACCAGTAAAAATTTTCAGTCTGTTTTTTTTAAACTTTAAATAATGGTTAATATTTGTTGTTTTTTTCTGAACAGTTATAAAACGGCTAATTTTTTTATAGTTTGGATCATGGACGTATCATGGTTATGACCTTGACTTACAGATTGATCAAGATTACAGCAATGATGAATCTGGTTAGTTAGCAACAACTGTTATACTGTTAGAGCATCAATTTTCGACCTCAAACTGTTGAATTTGATCTGCAGAAAGCGTTGACCAAATAAACTTTATTAGAAAACAAAATTTAGCTCTTGCAACAAATTTCATTTTCGTTATTGCTTCAGAAGTCTTGCGAATCATTATAAATTTACTCATAGTTAATTGTACAACTTTAGAAAACAGATGATAAACTGTAAAGTAATAAAGCTTCAAAAGATAATAAAAGCTTAACTTTTACTAGCTAAAATAAATGGAATAATCAGAAGAAAACTAAATCTAACCTGTATTACCAACATAAGAATTAAGGGTTTTTTTAAATCAATTCTACCGTTTTTTAGAGCCACCCTATCCATCAATGGATCTGTCCAGTTATCTTCCAAGCGGTGAATGGGTTCTAAAAGGTGTCGTATTTGTTTTAAAAAAACTTTTTTCTTTATTATTTTTTTCTTCTTTCTTTTTTCTTTTTTGCTCAAAGAATACAACGAATAACGAACAGCATCACTAATTCTAGACGCACCAGCATTCCGGGATGTCAAACATTATTCGTGTTGTGAAGAACCGTATCCAACAATCCGATTTTTTATGAATCTTCGCCGCCGTACACTGTACTATGGATTCAATCTAATAATTCCTTCACTTGTTATCTCAATGATGACATTAATGGCTTTTTCGCTTCCACCCCATGACATGTCTGAAAAAATTGGTTTCCGTAAGTACCATGTACCAATTTAACTAGAACCAAACAGTTTTTAGATGAACAGACAGAAAACGACCATATTTTTATCAGAGCAAATGTGTAATTTTTTTATTACAGAGACAACGATTCTGTTGTCCGTTTGCTTCTTCCTTACAATTGTCAGCGAAATGACACCGGCTACTTCTGAAGCCATACCACTTATAGGTTTCAATTAAACTCTTATTTTCTAATGATTTTTTACTTCTTTTTCATTGAAAGCAGCCATAATCTTGGTTTGTTCCGCTCAAAAAAAAAAAAAAAAAAGATTTCAAATTAAGCGAATTTTGCCTTTGTACATGAATAACGTCCAACACTTATTTTTGAGCAGTTATCGCTTATAAATTTTACAGACTTTTTATCCAAACCTACACTATAGTTTTAACATTAACAATTCGTACAGGTATATTTTTCTCAACCCTAACAATGATAGTTTCCGTTTCAACTACATTCACCATCACCATTTTAAATTTACGTTACCGACAGGCCGACAATCACCGTATGGGAAGGACGGTATGTTTACCGTAATTTATAAAACCTTTGCCACTGAACAAAAAAAGCAAAGTCTGAACAGAAAAAATGTTGCCAGCGATACTTATAGACTTTTTCATTATAATACAGCAAAAAATTTTTAAATCAACTTTTTTTACATATAAACATGTAAGAGATTTCACAAAGCAAAAAAATTTAGTTTCGTCAAATATTTTTGGTTTGGTTACCGTGGCTTCTAATGATGAATCGTCCAGGTTATAAGCATCGGAAAGGGAAAGCTGTTCGTTCCGATGCAGATACGTTACTGGAAAACAAATGCCTCCAAGTTAGTGCTCATATTTGTTGCTACTTAAGGTTACCAACAACTGCCGCTGCCCTTCAATTTCCGATGTAACTTTGTAACTTTCACAAATAGTTCTCTTTTTGATAGCATCGCCCTTTAAAGTTTAAACAAAAAATCTGCAACAAATTTACAAAAAGTTTTAAAACATTTTGGCTGCTGAACCCAATGTACGCTGACAACAGATTTGCATTTAGTGTGTTGGAATCGACACTATCGACAAAAAGAGCAATTCAACTAACGTTTATGATCAGCAGTTGTCCCACTGTGATACAGTAACAAAAATAGATACGAGTCATAACTTTTATACCATTCCCTTTACCCAACTTGGATTAGAACGAAAAGTTGGAGATGGAATTTTTGTTTCCAGACGATGCGTTACTAGCAAGTTACGAAAAATTGCTCAACACGAAAGATATATTCAAAAATGCATAGAATTAATCAGCGATACAAGTGAGTGCAAAATTTTTAATCCTTACACGTAAGCATTTACATTAGAACAAATCTAAAATAAGAATGCATGATAACTGTTACACCAATAAAAGCCAAAAACCAAAGTGTGTGATTGAGCTTTGCAAAGACTGTAAAACAGAAAATTTTTTTCAGTTCTACTCGTTAAATGATAAGAAAAACAATAATTAGCTGTAGTGTATCTGTAAAATTTTTAGTGAGTCTGTTTTTCAGTGGTTGTTTTAAAATCAGCATTGAAAACAAATATATTTTTAACAAAAGATCACTTTTCCAGAGTCACAAAATTATGACGAGAAAGCTGCAATCACCATTAAATATTATTCGTTACTTCATCAAAAACTTAGAACAATTAATGGTATTCTAGCAGATAGAGAACGAAAGAATGATTTACAGGTAAAGTGTTTAAATTCAATGCGCTTACATTGTTTCTGAATGAAAAAAACCATTACAAGATTACTGGTCCAGCAATTTTTCAAAAGAAGTACTGAAATGCAACTCTGCAAAAACGATAGATATAGTAATATTTTACTGTTAAAGTCAACTCTCTATGCGTATTTCAAACGATTCAAAACCAGATTATTGGTATATGCTGAAAGAAACAGTTTAAGAATTTTTAACTTGCCAGTACTGTCTTAGTGCACTTTGAAACAATACAGTACTGGCTAAGTAGACTACAGCGGTCAGCCAATAAACCACTGTTGTGGAAGTGTGGTTTAAAGCCATAGAAAACTGACATTTTCAAAAAAAGTAAAATTACCAACCTTTGCAAAATGCACTTCCCACCAGTAAATCACGAGCACTAAGCAAGTTTGAGAAATCTCATTTACCCCGAGAAAAATTTGACGTTGGATTAAAAAACGATTCTCATGAACTGATCCACTGTCAACCAGTACACCTGTTCCAAAAATTTCAGGAAGACTGGAGGTTTGCAGCGAGGGCACTCGACAGACTTTGCCTATATGTTTTCTCAGTATTTTTGACCGTCTGCCTGTGTGCAATATTCCTCTCATCGCCGTACCTCAATGCTTAGTGACAAAGTTGTTAATAAAAATTTTATTAATTTTTTCTTCATCTCTTATCAGTCTTTTTTTTTTTTTTTTT